ATCTGCGTCTTGTTATCTACGCGTTTATCAACATCACGTCCCACACAAAAAAATGGCGCAGTCTTTTGTGATTCTTGTCAAACATGGGATACCTTTGTCTTCTTGTCCCCACATATCTTCTTGTCCCCACAATCCGAGTTTATCTGGTGATAATATAAAATTTTTACGGTATATACCTGAGATAGAAACAACGGCACGTCTCGAATGAGTTTGGCTAAATCGTCACAGAATATCATAATAGTAGTCAAAGGTGAAGTGAGTGTGTACAACCTCTGGTTCTCACTTTCAGGAGGAATATATGTTCGTCATCAGTACGCCAGACGCCTGTCTAACATCTACGTCTCGTCATCATTGCGTTTCTCAACGTCATGTCCACACAAAAATGGTGCAGTCTTTTTGTCATTCTCGTCATATATGGGATGCCCTTGGTTTGTAAGTTTATCTGGTGGTGATTATATAACATTTTTGCGACTTTTTTCCCACGTGCAAAAACTAGAATAATGTCGTGTTTGATGTCTTTGGCCAAATCGTCAGAGGATATCATAATAGTAGTGAAAGGTGAAGTAAATCTGCGCAGCCTCTGCTTCTTTCATGCGTCTGCGAGACACATGTCTAATGTCTGCGTCTCATCATCTGCGCGTATATCAACATCATGTCCCACAATAAAATATCGCAGTCTTTTGTTATTCTCGTCAAACATGGGATGCTCTCGTCTTCTTGTCTCTACAACCCAAGTTTATCTGGTGACAATATATATTTTGCGGTATTTACCCGAGAGAGAGAAATTACGCCATGTCATGAATGAATTCGACTGGCCAAATCATCACAGGATATCATAATAGAAGTTAAATGTGAAGTGAGTCTGTGCAGTCTCTGTTTCTCACATGCGGGAGGAATATATGTTTGCCATCAGTCTGCGAGACGGCTGTCTAACGGCTACGTCTCGTCAAACATGGAATGCTCTCATCTTCTTGTCCCCACAACCCGAGTTTATCTGGTGACAATATAAATTTTTTACGCATTTACCCAAGAGAGAAATTACGGCACGTCGTGAATAAGTTCAACTAGGCAAATCGTCAGAGGATATCATAATAGTAGTCAAAGGTGAAATGAGTATGTGCAGTCTCTACTTCTCACATGCGTCCGCGAGATGTATGTCTAACGTCTGCGCCTTGTCATCTGCGCGTTTATCAGCATCACCTCCCACAAAATTAATTATCTTTTCCTGTTATTTATTACTAGGTGTTTCCCCACACAAGGTGCGGGTTCGATTCAATTTTCTAAAAAGTAATAACATTAGTTTATTTATAGATAACAAATCAGATTTTATAATTATTCGAAACTAATTATAATTAAAATATAAATTTCTTAAGTATATTGTTTTTGTGACAAAGCAAATATTTTATTTATATCTTATTTTTAAAATATTTTTTATATTATCCGATAAAAATTTATATGTATGTTTTGTTGTTTTGTTGCATTTATTAAACATGATAAATAATTTTCTTGTTTTGATGTAAATTGATAGATTAAGATTAATGAAATTCAAAATCTGCATTAAGAAAAAACATAACAATCTAAAATGACCAAAACCAAAAGATCCTTGTTTCATGTCAACTTAACATTAATTAATATATAAAAAGATTAAAAGAATATAGGTTTTTACTTGTGGCCGCATAAATCAATTAAGTTAGTCAAAAATATTAATAGGTTAAATAATCTAAAATTAGTTTAAGGAAATAATTAGGATTATTTTTTGTGCTTTATGCTAGTTACTTTTTTTAGTAAACTGAATATTTTTTATGATATAAACTCGAATTTGGAAATTCAGATTTTTTAAAAATGAAAATTAATTAAAAATTAGATTATATTAATTTGTTAATTTTATTAAGGGTAAATAAAGTCTTTTTATATAAAGGGCAAAGAGTAATGAACCATCATAACTTTATACCACAGTCCAATTTGCTTCTCGATTAATAATATGATTTTCTGTTAATTATCATTTAGTATTATAATCTAATATATTTATGTTTTAATTTTATAAATTTATTTAATTTTAATTCAATCAATCAAAATATTTCTTTTATTTTAGAAAAATTAACATATCTCATTTTCAGGTCAATAATAAAAAACACACATCAATTTTTTTCAGTGAAAAACTTCTCAAGTAATAGTGAAAATTTTACGTTTTAATAAAAACGATTAATTTTTTTTGGAGGGTACTCTTTAGTGAAATTTATCAATGTATATACAGTACATATATTTTTCCTTTTGCCCACTGTTTATTCTTTTTTCATAAAACCTGGAAAACAAATATTCGATTCCGGATCTCCACACCTCTTGCCTCCTATATGAGCCGGCCTGACCTTTTAGTAACCAAATGTAATCGAAAAGTATATAGACGTGCATTTGACCCAAAAAAAAAAAAACTATATAGACGTGACAAATCAAATGCATATGTGACTATAAAGTAAACCAAAAAGATTGGAAAGTTATTTGCCATTGTGGAGACAAAGTCATCTTAAGATTACAAAAAAACATAGTCATCTACAAGTTGTCAAGCTAAACAAGTATCCTCAAAGGATCACCACAAAATACCATCAAGTCTTGCCCCTTCGCAACCAGAGGTTCTCTCTCTACTTCCTCCCTCACATTGTTTCGTTATTAAATTATCATCAACTGATTGATTTGTCGTTTATTCTGATTAATCATGGTAAATTAGTAATTATGAATCTGATCTTGATAATATATCGTCAGCATTTTTGTTTTAATCCACTACATATTATTTGAGAAATAACATTATTAAAAATAGCTTACTTGTCAACACTACAGCCAAAGTTAGTGTTTTTAATTGATGACATGTAAATGTGACATGTCAAATTTCCTAAAATAAACAAAATGTTTTGATTGGTTGAATTAAAATTATAGAAATTATAGAAATAAAACATAAATAAACTAGATTAATTTTATAACACTAAAATTAACAAATTTAAATTAACAAAAAATAAAAGTTATTATAATTTCAATTGGTTACATATATTCATAATTTCATAAAATATAATTATGAAAATGTTTTAACTATATATATATATTATAATTTCATATAAAATGAAAAAATAATACTAAATTATCCAATAGAATAATAAAAATTCTATTTATTAATAATACTTGAAGTATGATATATTTTTATTTTGGAAAGTTATTAATTTACAAAATATATTAATAACATCTAAACAAGTTTTAAATCCACTACATATTATTTGAGAAGTAACATTATTAAAAATAGCTTACTTGTCAACACTACAGCCAAAGTTAGTATTTTTAATTGATGACATGTAAATGTGACATGTCAAATTTCCTAAAATAAACGAAATGTTTTGATTGGTTGAATTAAAATTATAAAAATTATGGAAATAAAACATAAATAAACTAGATTATTTTTATAACACTAAAATTAACAAATTTAAATTAACAAAAAAATAAAAGTTATTATAATTTCAATTGGTTACATATATTCATAATTTCATAAAATATAATTACGAAAATGTTTTAACTATATATATATATATATATATATATATATATATTATAATTTCATATAAAATGAAAAAATAATACTAAATTATCCAATAGAATAATAAAAATTCTATTTATTAATAATACTTGAAGTATGATATATTTTTATTTTGGAAAGTTATTAATTTACACAATATATTAATAACATCTAAACAAGTTTTAAATAAACAAATTATTAAATAATACAATTTTAAATAAAATAAAATCATAATAAAAAAATAATTTAAAGAATAAAATGTTAAAAAAAAAAAAAAAAAATTTTATTGATTTTTTTTTAAAACCGTAATTTTTCTTTTCAAACTAATATTTACTAATTGAATAAAGTGTACACTAATTATTATTTTATAATATTAATAGGACTATATATTTTTCTATAACTTTTATCATCTTTTCATTGTTGTTTTCTAAAATGTACATAACTTATGTTACTATATCATCTTATCTCTTATCATATTTTAAATAAAAATAAATTTTATATCATATATATAAATTTATATTCATTGTATATCAAAATTTTGAGAACATAAATAAAATAAAAAATAACTGAACGAAAGAATAAATTATAATAAGATGAAACAATATAAATAAGAAATAAAAATAGAAGTATATAAAAATAAATCTGTTGCACTTTGTTTTAAAAAGTCACTTAAAAACTTTTTAACACCTAAGAGCCATATTTCAATTTTTTTACAAATACACGTACAGACATAAATATTAATTGTACATTAGTTGAAGTCACATGCGAACTTTTCTGTGCATGTATTTTGTTAAGATTGATTACAGACTATTTTTCTTTTAATTATTATACAATTTATATTTTTTAAAAAATATTTATCTATTCTAAGTGTAGTGAAGTGGTTGGTATGTCCGCACATGCGTGCCAACCATCTATCCGCTCTTAAAAATAAGTAAAAATGGTAAAACCTATTTCAGTTTAATTTGCAATAAATCAAGATAAATATACACTTAAAATATATTATATATGTATTTGCAAATTCATATTATGTAAGATGCAAAAAGCATATTGTAGATTGTGTAAGGAGAAATAAAACATATTATAGAAATATTTAAAAATTATTATAAAAAATTAATTATTATTTACCATAACTTTTAAATTTGTGATTATATATGATTACAAGCATTATAAAAATAATTTTTTTAAAATACATTGGTTTCAGAAAGAAGTTTGTGAAATATTAAAACAATATATATACAAACATACCAATGTTTAAAAAAACTAATCAATATTTAAATATTACAATTAACTATGTATATAAAAAAATTATATCCGCACATATGTGCGGGCAACCACCTAGTTCATATTAATTGAAGAGGTTTTATTCGCAGCAGACTATAAAGATTATTTAATATTTATATACAAAAGATTAATCAAGCAAAAATCCACTGCAGGAAACAAGAAAACCATGACACAAAGAGTGGAAGCACAAGGAGGACCTGGAGGAGGTTCTGCTTGGGACCATGGCATTAACACTGGTCTAAGGAAAATTTATGTGGGAAGAGATGACGCTTGTGTGAGTTATCTCAAGTTCGAGTATTTCAGTAGCGGTACGTTGAAGTCACATGCGCATGGTATCCAGAATCAGAAACACAAACTACAAGAGGTCTTCCCAAAACTCTTTCATCTGATTTCTTTTCTATATAACCAAATAGATCACAATATCGAAGATTTTATTTATTTTGCTGGATGACGTACCGCGAATATATTTACGGTGTGCAGAGTAGTCAATAGGACAATAACAAACTGTTTACTTAGTCGTTTTCGATCTTTGACACTGTCACATTGACAAATACATAATAGATTAAATTGCTTTAGATTGTTTGAGATCTTTAAATTTACCTTTTGGTTTAAAACTTTCACTGACTTTCTGTTTAAAAAAGGTTTTGGGCTTGAATATTATACGTGTGATTGTTGAGAACGGAGGTCTATACAAGAGTGAAACATAATTGACCTAGCAGGAATTTCTAAAGGTTAATTGAATAAATTATCGCAGATTTCATATACACAAAACCAAAACTAGATACTCAGAATATCAAAATATTTGTGTATCTTCAATACTTTGCGAAAACTAAGCTAAACAGATTTGTTACTACAGTTTGTTGTCGACTATCCAAATGAATACATCACATCAGTCGAAGGAACTTACGCTCATGTAGATTATGTTAATACCATTGTGATAACGTCGCTTGTCTTCAAAACATCAACGGGAAGAAAATCTCCGAGGTACGGGAACCATGGATTCGTGCTCGAGAATAATGGTCGGCCACTTTTAGTCTTTTAGGGTTCCATGGGAGAGCCGGACACGCTTTAGATGCCATCGGTGCTCATTTTGCACCTGACACATCATCATCAGCGTGGGCTCCGCCTAGAAAACTTGCGGCACAAGGTGGTCCAGGAGGAGGCCCATGGGACGACGGAGTTTACAGTGGTGTAAGAAAAGTTTATGTTGGTAGAGATGAGTGTTGTGTAACTAAAGTCAAATTCGACTATGTCAGTGCCGACGGCGAACTAGAAGAAACACGTGAGCATGGCCGGGTAATCAAAATCCACAAGAGGTATGTATATTTTCATCACAAACTCTTTATCTATGTGGAGCTGAACTTGGATCATGAACCAAAGTAGATATTTGCTCGAATGTGATAGTGACACAAAAAAGACATTATTATAAAACCACTAGAATACACCATCATCTACAGTGGATATGATAAAGTACTGTACGTTCATATTACTAGATTTATCACCATCTCTAGGCATTTAGCACATACTTCTTTTGGATTGGGAACCAAATGCGATGTTTTCTCTAGGATTATTGAATCAAAATCTTCATATCGGTTGACCGAATCTTTCTTGAGTTCATGACAACTCTTTATTAATGGAGACCATCACCTTTATCATCATCTATGTAGTTTTTGAACCGCTATCAGAGATAAAAAAAGACTTTAAGTTTGATTGTATCTTTGTGTCGTCTTACGTACATGTTCTTGGATTTTAGCTTACATGTTTAAATCATTACGTTTAGATTAAAATGATCATTTAAGAATTATAAACGTAAACATAAAAATTAAAAAAAAAATTCAGATTACAATTTTTAAAATATATACATTGATAGGAAAAAAGATCTCTCGATGTCTAAGCATTCATCCATCTTCCTATACACAAAACAGGCCCAAACGCTTAACTATTATATTGATCAATGTTGTTTCTTTCTAAGAAAAATAATAATATTAAAATTGATGAGTGCAGTTCTTACTTGATTATCCAAACGAATATATAACGTCAGTGGAAGGAACACAAGGTCTAGTGGTTCGTTATCATAACTACGTCGTCACGAGTCTTGCCTTCACAACATCAAAAGGAAGAACTTCGCCAACATTTGGAGCTACTAAGTTCGTTCTCGAAGACAATGGTCGTCAGCTTGTCGGCTTCCATGGACGGTCTGGAAACGTTATTGATTCAATTGGGGCATAGTTTGCAGCATCTCCACCATCTTCTTGATCACTGAGTAAGATTGTTTCTTTTTCTAACTTAAAAAAAATAACAAATAGATCAAAGACAAATGCCGTATATTCTTCACTTTGTTGTTCTTCTTGTTTTGCATGGTGTATCAATGAATAATATGTTGTGTGTAAATCCAAAATTTGCTTTTCATGTCTTCCTATAATCCATTTTACCACCTCTAGCACATACTTATAGTGTTAATAATTATTATGAAAAATATCTTTTCATATGAGATTAATTACCTCTTATCATTATAATGGGTAAGAATCGTCAACATATGCGGTTCACAAACTAATACAAAATCCGAGAACAGATGTATCGTCTCAAAATGCGACACCTCTGAGGCTCTGAAGCAAAAACTGGCAATTCTTTTGGACATAAAACTATTGGGACAGAATCAATTGAACCCGTGACAAAAGTGGGTGAATAAGCTATTATATAATATGTTATCATCATATATACACTGTATTGGCGATAATTTATTTTGTTTCTTTTCTTGCCAGATGATTTTAAATTGAAAGTTCTTAAAAATTGAGTGGTATCAGACCCCAAATTGGTAATTGGCTGGTCTTAGAATAAAATTTAGATGGCTTATTGTCTCAAAAAATGCAGTAAAAGTTCTACACCAAAATTGTGAAAGAACCTTTTTTTTTCCCATCAGATAATATTAATACTCCAAAGTTGAAACAAATATGGAATACATTTTTGAAATACAAGGACTAATACACAAAGGCTGTAAAACACAATCCAAAACTAGGAGGAAATGAGATAAATAACAAGAGGAAACCATATGCAAAAGTTAAAACCTGCAATGAACCAACCACAAACTTTACCATAGAATCTGTAGACGCTACAGCCGACTGAGAGACAAGAGAACCGATAAACCCAAGCAACACTTCACTTTCTGTAAGCAAACCAAATCCAAGCTAGGCACAATACGGACACCACCAACAAACTTGCAGCAGTAAAGAAAGCAGACACTAGTAAAAAAAATAGGCTATAGCTACGACAGAGTTACGATAGTGTCATGGCTTTTTTGAAACAATTCACAAAAAAGCTACGAAAAAACCACGAAAAGGTCACGTAAATGGAAAAATAAAGAAACATGACAATTTTGTGACAATTCGTGGCAAATGTTATCACGTTTTAGTCACAGAATCTGGTGTAGCAAGGTTAGTCACTAATTAGCCACAAATATTTTGTGGCAACATAGTCATGAACAAATATCATGACATTTTCGTGGCAACTGTAGTCACGGTTTAGTCACGAGAATAGCAGTGGCAAGGTTAAGCACTCTTTAGCCACTCGTATTTCGTGGCAATTTTGTATAATTAAGCATTGTTTTTCTTATTATTATAAAAATATTATGATTATGATTATGATACTGATTCTGATTAAGTTTTAACATATTTTCAACATATTTTTAATTTGTGACTCTGATTCTGATATTGATACTGATTTTGCTTAAGTTTCAGCATATTTTCAAGTATATGTATAATTGAACTTTGTTTTTCTTACTATTATAAAAAGATTAAGAATATTATGTTTCAAATTAAAATATAACTAAACAGAATCGGTAATTTAAAATATAACTAACAATTTGGTTAAGGGTTTCTATTTTTGGGTTTAAAGTTTGCATTTTGAATCTTAGAAAGATAATGTTTAGTTATATTTTAATTTAAAACTTAATCCTTAAATTATTTATAACACTTGCATAGTTATTTAGTTATAACCAACTATAACTAAACCCTTTAACCCTTAAATTCAAACCCTAAATCCAAAATACAAACCCTTAACCAAATTCAAATCCTATACCCTAAATATAAAACACATATGTATACCAAAATTCACCCTTAACCAAAATTCATACCCTTAACCTAATTCAAACCCTAACCAAATTCAAACTCTTAACCTAATTCAAATCCTAACCAAATTCAAACCCTATACCCTAAATGTAAAACACATATATATACCAAAATTCAAACCTTTCACCCTAAATGTAAAACATATATGTACACTAAAATTCAAATCATTAACCAAAATTTAAACCCTTAACCAAATTCAAACTCTAGACCCTAAATATAAATTTAAACCCTTAACCAAATTCAAAGTCAAACCATAAACCCTAAACTCAAACCTTAAATCTAAAATGCAAACCCTAGACCCTAAATGTAAAACACATATTTACAACAACATTCAAACCTTTAACCAAAAACTTCAAACCCTAAATTCTAAAATCAAACCCTTTATCCAAAATGCAAATCATGTATCATAAACTCAAATCATAATCTATAAACCACTTCAAACCCTTATATCCTACAACACTAATAAAAATCATAAATTTTTGCCATTACACTTTGCATATATTTGACTAAACTTTATATACAATCAACATATTCTACAATATTTATAACAAATTTCAAAATTTTCAAAGATAAATTATATTCTAAATTTTAAATTCTAAACCCTAAACATAATTAATCAGTATATATATATATATATATATCCAAAATTAAAATTCACATTTATAAAATATTTCCAAAATATACCCAAAATCTTAAATCCTAAAATGTAAACTCTTATATATCTTAAATTCCAAATCCTAAACATAGTTAATCACTATATATATATATATCCAAAATTTAAAATCTACACTTATAAAATTTTTTATAATTAATATTCAAGTCTAATCATTTTCTAAATCATAAATATCAAATTCCAAATCATAAACCCCAAAACTCAAATCCTAAAACTTAAATCTCAAACCCTTATATATATTAAACTCCAAACCCTAAACATAGTTAATCGCTATATATATATATATATGTCCAAATTTTAAAATCCACACTTATAAAAGATTTCAGAAATATTTAAATCTAATCATTTTCTAAATCACAAATTTCAAATTCTAAATCATAAACCCAAAATCTCAAATCCTAAAACTTAAATTTCAAACCCCAAATTATGAATTCAAACCCTTAAACTTTACACTCAAACATAAAATCTAAATCCAAAATATAAAATGTAATTTTTTAACTAATAAAATTAATTATGAATGCAACATGTCATTAAATTATTTTGAAAATTATATTTAAAAATAAATGTTATCACAAACATAATATTTAAACTTTAAAAATGCTGATAAAAATGATAGTTTTCCATTGGTTACTCACTAGACATGAGGATCACACTTACTTTTATTCTCAACCATCGATAAAACTAAATCTAATGGCCTAAATTTTGTCAGTCTTTGTTTTTGTCAGTCTTTATTAATCTTATCACTTTCTCCTCTACTTTCTCCACTTCTTCTTCTACTCAGCGTCTCATTCAACTTCTTCTCCTTCTTCAGGTTTTCCTCTTTCCACTATGTCTCCTTCCTCTTCCTCTTCTTCTCCTTCCTCGTTTTCGTCACTGTCATCGTCCCATTACCGATGGAGGACGGAGGCGAGGAGTGTAAAATAACCGGCGAAGGGGAGGCGTGGATGGACGACGGAGGCAAGGCGTGGATTGACGACGGAGGCAAGGCGTGGATGGAGGACGGAGGCGAGGAGTGGAGCAGCCGTGGAGGACTCGCCGATGCCGAAAACAGATTTCGAAGTCGGCGGCGCTGGATGATAATAGATTAATTTAATTTTTTTGGTGTTGTTCGGTTGGTTTGATCTGATTTCGGTTTTGTAAATTTTATTTATGTCCCGATTTGGATTATTAATATAATATTATTAAAAAATATCGATTGTTTTTATTCATTTAATTGTGTATTGTTTTGTTTTTTAGCAAAATATAAATTTTATATAAGAAAATAGTTTAATTTATTTATTTATTCTTGTTTTCAAAAGCCACGATATAGGGTCCGATTGGTGTAGTGGCTGTGAAGGCTGTAAGAGATTTTACCGTATCTACAGTTAATTTTTAACTAATCATATTTTACTTTCCTATTTTTTCTCTACAGTCTTTAAGTCTCTTATTAATATTTCCTTCTTTTCTTTTTTTTTTTTTTTCTTACAGCCACTTTATTCACACTTTTTCTATTTTTATCTCTCCTTCCTTCTCTCTTTTTGTACCACTACGAATTAATCCTTTTTTTTTCCCTATCTTCTCTTCTCATTTTTATTATTTATATTTAACAATAATATAAAAAAACAAATAACACAAATAAATAGCACAAATAAGTAATATTTAGTCAAATTGATTATTTTAATAATAATAAATTCATCTCTAAAAGTTTAGCATGACTAAATCATTAGTTATTATTATTTAGTTTTAATTCTTAATCAGAAAAAAAACTGGACTTAACTAAGTAAATAAATAGACTAAAATACATATTCAACACAAAAATATAACGTGTTTAAACAAATAAATTAATAAATAAATTATTAGATTTTAATGCAATATCAATAGATTTATTTATTAAATTTTATTGAACAAATCTTATTATACTAATTTTTTATGTTAATAATTAAATATCTTTTTTGAATCATAACAATTTAAATACATATAAAAATATATTTAAAATTTACTATTATAATCTATTCCACCTTTATAAATATATTATTAAAATCAGTTTTTATTTTATTTTTTTTAAAAAAAAATTTAAGTCACAGCTTTTACAGTTTTTATCACCAATCAGACTTTAAAAAATATTTAAAGTAATAGTCACAATTTTTAAAGCCAGAAATTTTACAGCCAAAAGTCCAGAGTCACAACCTACAGTCAAAAGTCCTTGTCGTTGTCATTTTCCCAACACCAAAGTGGTCCCAGAAATTGACTCAACCATAATTAATAAGTAACCATCAGAGTTAGTCTTTTTGTGGTCCCAAACACATGCTCATTTCAAAATCATCTTGTTCATCAAGTTATAACAATCTTCACAAATCTCCACCTGATGGCTTGGATAACAAAACCATAACCTGCACATACTTAAGAGAGATATAGAGCTCCTTCTTCTAGCTTCTTGGTTTCCAGTCTTGGTT